AGGTTATACACTGTGCCCGTCTATAGAGAGGCCTTAACCTGACATTTGTTCACTATCAGTTCTCCTGACATGCTTGGGTCAGAGAGAATTCCAAAATATTTCACTGTAGATACTGAGGTGAAGGGTTCCCACTTCAATATATATTATTTTTCTTCCAAAGAGTATCGTTTCTTGTTTTCCAGAGGTATAGCCATGATTTGTTATCAGCTAACCATTTGCTATAGGACTCTAGTTCCAGTGACAGAACATTAGTTATATCTTATGGGTTTTTAAACCTGAGACTAGAAGAGCACTGTTGTTTGTATACATCAGTGGCTTATACCTGACAATGAAGGGCATGCCATTCACATAATATAAAAATAGTGAGGAACACAGACTACTACCTTGGGGAAACCCACATGCTATCGGCAAGGATTCTGATCATGAGTGAAAGGACGGTAAACAGTTCCTACTAGTATGTGTTTGGTCTTGGGCAGCAACACTTTGAGCCATAAAATTTCCGAATTATTGTCATGCAAATCGGGTTTGGGTTGTAAGCTACCTCATTTCTTACATAAACACATACTTCATTCCTTGTCTGTTTCTATCCTAACGTTTTAAGTTGTAGCCTTTTATTTTGACCTCATCGTCATTGCATCATCTAACCAGGATTCAGAAATGGAATTTACCGCAGAATTAGGTTTGTTTGCTAGACTCCCAACTTCTGTCACGGTGGGTAAAAATGACTTTGCGTTAACATGAACAAAATGAAGACGTGCTTATTTGAAGCAGTCATAGTGAGCAATATTCTGCAAGGCTTCATTTGTTCTAAGAAAGATTGACGCACCATCAAGGTCAACACTACTACAAGGTAATGGAGTTAAGGTACATTTGTTACATACAAGCTGATGAGAATTTCCTTTAACATGACCTAAAACAAATCTGTTTTGTACCAATCCCATACATAATTCACTTATACTGTATTAATCGTACCATCACTATAGTGTACACATGCTGGTGCATTCTTTCTGGTCATTATTAATGTTGTTTAGTCTGGTAATAATACCGTCTCTGTGGCCTCATGCCCTGAGCACCCATTACTTACAAAGTTAAAGTTATCGCTGTTGGGTACTAGTTCATAACATACGTCATCACTAATGCTCTATGTAAGTAGTTCCCAAACTTTTCCAGACTGCTGCCCAATAATGTTAGAGAAGCCTTGAAAATTTCATGACTTCATGTGAAAAGACTCTTTCACACCGCAGACACACTGGCTGATGTTGGTTATTTGGTGCTGTTACAAATCCATATCTTAGATATTCCACACTATATTGCGTGCACTTTTTTTTCGTCTTCTGTGCTGCAGTCATATTTTATTCTCGAACCAAAAGTGTCTTCTTTTTTTGGTATAAATCATGCCAATCACAACAAAACGCAGCAGAAAAGAAAGAAAATATCTATCATTGCATTTACTAGGAAAAGTACGCGACACAATTATACAAGTATTAATGCTAAATTAAAAATCTTGTACTTAAGAACTACAAACCATAGCCTAAGCACAACTCTTTCACACCCTTAAGCGTCCCTCCATCAAAACCACTCAATCATACCTTTTTATATTAACTTTAAAATGTACATTAGAAGACGGAAGATTACTTGCAGTACGTACAAACCTATAACCTTGTCCCTTGTAGGTGTGAAAATCTGATCATCTGTACCCATGTGACCATGGCGTAATAGCGCACAAAATGCGTGCTAAAGGAATAACAGGAAAAGTCGGTCGATGGATCTATAATTTCCTCACTAACAGAACACAGAGAGTAGTAGTCAACAGAGTAAAGTCCGAGGCAGGCACGGTTAAAAGCTCTGTTCCACAAGGCACAGTACTCGCTCCCATCTTCTTCCTCATCCTCATATCTGACAAAGACAAGGATGTCAGCCACAGCACCGTGTCTTCCTTTGCAGATGACACCCGAATCTGCATAACAGTGTCTTCCATTGCAGACACTGCAAGGCTCCAGGCGGACATCAACCAAATCTTTCAGTGGGCTGCAGAAAACAATATGAAGTTCAACGATGAGAAATTTCAATTACTCAGATATGGTAAACACGAGGAAATTAAATCTTCATCAGAGTACAAAACAAATTCTGGCCACAAAATAGAGCGAAACACCAACGTCAAAGACCTGGGAGTGATCATGTCGGAGGATCTCACCTTCAAGGACCATAACATTGTATCGATCTGCTAGAAAAATGACAGGATGGATAATGAGAACCTTCAAAACGAGGGATGCCAAGCCCATGACACTCTTCAGGTCACTTGTTCTATCTAGGCTGGAATATTGCTGCACACTAACAGCACCTTTCAAGGCAGGTGAAATTGCTGACCTAGAAAATGTACAGAGAACCTTCACGGCGCGCATAACGGAGATAAAACACCTCAATTACTGGGAGCGCTTGAGGTTCCTGAACCTGTATTCCCTGGAACGCAGGCGGGAGAGATACATGATTATATACACCTGGAAAATCCTAGAGGGACTAGTACCGAACTTGCACACGAAAATCACTCACTACGAAAGCAAAAGACTTGGCAGACGATGCAACATCCCCCAATGAAAAGCAGGGGTGTCACTAGCACGTTAAGAGACCATACAATAAGTGTCAGGGGCCCGAGACTGTTCAACTGCCTCCCAGCATACATAAGGGGGATTACCAACAGACCCCTGGCAGGCAGTCTTCAAGCTGGCACTGGACAAGCACCTAAAGTCGGTTCCTGATCAGCCGGGCTGTGGCTCGTACGTTGGTTTGCGTGCAGCCAGCAGTAACAGCCTGGTTGATCAGGCTCTGATCCGCCAGGAGGCCTGGTCACAGACCGGGCCGCGGGGGCGTTGACCCCCGGAACTCTCTCCAGGTAAACTCCAGGTAAACCCACGACGTCTGGTATCTGTCGTGTGTCCGATCAAATGTTAAGACTCTTAACTCCGACTTTGGACTAAAAAATAAAATAAAACTATGCTTTCGTATATAACTCTAAGTTAATTTAATTTTTTTAAAGTGTTCGTGACTTATATTCTGACATACAGATTTTGTAAAACAAATGATCCCTTGGTTCTGAATCTACCTGCTGCATCCCTACCGACCTCTTTTTCCGAAACACCCCTTGGATCTTTTCACCTCCCCCAGGGAGGACGGTGTCGCCCACTTATGGAATCACTGCTCTATGTGCATCACACAGTCACTCGTTCCTCAAACATCACAGGTAACTACATGACGGTAACTGAACACCCTTTTGCCACTGTGAACACAAGAACATCTAATTTGTTTGTTTTGCATATATACATTAGTATGCAATCCTGAATTACTTTGAATATCACCACATACCAGAGCCACAATTAGCGCAGTACGCCACTGCCGATTAAGCCATAATTATTCTGATAATCCTGCCAAATTAACAGAATAATTATGGCGGAAATAAAAATGTTAGGGTTAGGGTATAGCGGTTAGGGAAATCACAGTCAGACTGACCAGTGACCTAAACATCTGGTTCCTGGATGATGGCACAAAAACAGGTACAAAGGAGTCCCTCCCAAATGATCTTACACAAGTGATGATACGGGGACAGGATATGGGTCTCATCCTGAATCCATCCAAATGTGAAATCATCTCAGTCAGTCAACAAGTGATAAATGCAGTGAGCTTCAAACTACCAGGAGCATCAATCATTGCCCCTACAAATAGCGTCTTGCTTGGAGCACCTCTGGTAAGCGATGCCATTGACACAGTTCTCAGGAAGAAATTGGAAGAGTTGAGGAGAATGAAACAACGAATGGGCAATCTTGACACCCATGATGCTTTGTACCTTCTCACAAAACCCTTGAATCTGCCCAGCTTGACATATTTCCTAAGATGTGCATTTTCATATGATAACCCTATACTGCACGAAAATGACAGTATCCTGAGGCAGATTTTTACGAAAGTACTTAACCTTACTCTACAATGGGCAGCAGAACCAAGCTACACTTCCAGTCAGACTAGGAGGCATTGGTGTCCGCAAGTCAAAATACTGGAGAAATTGGTCGGTAAATGCAAAAAAAAAAATGGCAGAAAGGGTTCAGAAATTCTACATCACTAGCCACAGTAGTGCACTGTAGTTGGATTCAAATAAATATGGCACAATGGGCCCTGCAATCGAACAAATTATACAGGGTTGCATAATATGTAGGTGTTGGTCGCACCTCCTTAAACAGTAGCAGCGATTTACTACAGACGAAAACCGGGCTCACACACTTTATCACTACCCACTTCTTGTAGGTGTTACTACCCTCTGCATCACTTATTACTGCTGATGACTGTAGAATATATTTAAATTGTTTGATAATGTCGTCGGTCTTTTTACTTATGTTGGTGTGCCTGAAATAGTTTTTTTAAATGATTTGAGTTATTTGAGCCTAGCCTGACAGTATTTATTTATAATATGTGTTTGGTGATTTCATTTAGTTTCTTATAAAGTTGTACCTTGCTCATTCTTATGTAGGGAGCCCTATTTATACTTTATCACCACGAGCTCTGAGTGATCTCATAGGTTAAAACACTTCTCAAATTTCGATTCTTCTTCTACTTCTTCCACTCACTCACTTAGAGGTGAATTCAAACACATATTAGCTTCTTGGGAGGTGATTTTTTTTCTTGCTTACTTGACCAGAGTGATATCCCTTGATCACATAACCGCATACCTGAAAAGTGTAAAACTTCCCTCTCCCATATCCACATATATGACAAGAGTAATATCTGTTGATCCAAGTTCTTTGGGTTCTTCTTTGTATTAGGTCTTCCTTGCATTACCTATTAAGGGTATACAAATGGAAGGGTAGAAACTGCCTACTCTGGAAATGCCTACTCTGAGGTAACCCACTAAGTGAGGAAACTGACCGGAGTTGCCCCCCTTTTTTCACTGACTCACACACACTTCACGAAAGGGGTGCTACTTCACAACCAACAACAAAATAAAAAGAAAAACATATATTTCATATCTTCTTCCAACAGGATGAAAGTTTTGGCAACTATTGTGTTGGCATTATCAGCAGCAGTAGTGGCATTACAGGAAGCGCCTTTTGTGATGACAGAGGGCGGCATGATCTCCGGCCTGATTCAAAGGTCCACCAGGAGCAGAACCTTTTACTCTTACTACAACATTCCCTTCGCCAAGCCTCCTCTTGGCCACCTCAGGTTCAAGGTAATGATTTATTTTCACAGCCATGAACACAAATGCAGTCACTCATTCTTTCGAACTATGAAGACCGATACTTGCCCTTAATACACACGAAATAAAATTTTAAGAGAAAATATAATAGGACATGTAAAGCTAAGGGTAAGTACTAGACGGTAAGTTGAAAGGCACAGGCAGGATCTGACACCCTAACCACGCAAACATAAACAAGAGAGCACGCATATACATAGTTCATGCATATACATCAGTTCACTTTTGTTTTGAAAGTATGCATACATTATTACAGTGTACGAATGTTGTGTGAACTCCTCTCTTTACCAGGAATTGTGTACAGTAGTCCTTCACTTTACACGATTATGATTCTAAAAATCAGCGCTACCTGTGATATAGTTAATTATGGAGCGTAGATTGTACAGAGATTTTTTTCCATGATACCTTAAAAAATCAATCAAGCATTTTATGTATATTTCGCAGTTCTTCAAAAATAATAGATTTTTATATCTTACAATTTAAATATTTGTACTCAAAGTTCCACATCATCCCTCTCCAGACACATAAAAAGAACATAAGAATATAAAAAGAAAGAACAGAAACAGGACAACTGGTTCATGCTAGGAAGATCCTGCTCAAACGCATCCTATCATCCCCATGTATCTAGCAATAATCTAACCTATATTTAAAGTTAACTTCTTCGGAAACTTATGAAATGGCTTGTTTTGAGAAGAACCTTTCTGTCACAAGCAAGTAGGTCTGCTGCAGTACTTCTCTACTCTTTTTTTCGTATGTGTATAAAGGGCTGATGTGGCACTATACATGTATAAATGTATAGCAGTTTTTTTAAAGACTATCAGAAGACACATTCTATAGTTATTACATAGAAAACAATTCATGTAATAAAACTGCTAAATTAAAAATAATACATCTCAAAGTATCTGCAAGTTTTCGTTTAATGAAGCTACTTCTTACAAACACGACATCTAATAGTATGGAAATCTACAAGAGAATATTAAGCCGAACTTACGGAAAAGGCCGAACTCTCTTAAAAATTAATTTTTTTCTCCATAATTCTTTCACAGAATAATAGATATTTTTTTTTATCACTGACAGTGATATAAAGAGTTTTATTTTTTAACAATAATTAGAAACCTCACCTAACCTCACTTAAACTAGCGTATTTTTTTTTTTTTTTGATATGTATAATATAGGTTAGTTTAAATTGATTTAACATTACATAAACTCAATGAAACATATATATATAATATATATATATATATATATATATATATATATATATATATATATATATATAAATTAATAAATAATATATATATATATAAAGTGTGTGTGTGTATTATTGTAACCACGAACGAGTGGTATTGATCAATAACAACACTGCGCTAGCCAAGGATTCGAACCCATGTTGTACTGGCCTGCCTCATGGTAAGCGAGAACCACATGATGCTTTAAACCACAGAACCATACTGCTCGTGAGGCTAGTATACCAAACAGGGATGAGAATGAAATTAGCTTAGAAGCTCCCACACCTCCGTATGCTCATGGATGGCGGCCCAACAGCTAGCTGTGTGCTGGCTGTCCCTCTCTCTCCCTCTCTTTCTCTCTCTCTCTCTCTCTCTCTCTCTCTCTCTCTCTCTCTCTCTCTCTCCTCTCTCTCTCTCTCTCTCTCTCTCTCTCTCTCTCTCTCTCTACCTTTCTCTCTCTCCCTCTCTATCCATCTTTCCCCTCCCTCTCCTCTGTCTCTCTCTCTTTCTTTCTCTCTCCCTCTCTTGTTCTCTCTATCTCTCTCCCCCTCACACACACCTTCCATTCATCTTCCTTTTCCTCCTACCCCTCCCCCCTGGCTTCCCCTCACTTCCCTCTCTTCACACTCATCCCTAGCCTTCTCCCTATCATTCTCTCTCCCTCCCTCTCTCTCTCCCTCTCTCCTTTCTGTAGTAAGATAAAAACTGGGTAACTCAAGAGGGCAGAGACCCAGGGGCCTGGAACAACCTGGGAGGGAAGATTGGGAATTAAAGCTAAAAAAATGGATGAAAAGTGTGGAAGGAAGCTAGCAGAGCTCGACAGGGTAATGGGGGAGAGGATAGCTGAAGAGAGCAGGAAGTGGGGACTACAAGTCTTAGCAGCAGAAGATAAGATAAAGTGCTTAGAAGAATAGCTAAAAAAAACTGAAACAGACTAGATACAAATGACAGTGCAGACATGGCATCAGGAACTTCTATACCAGTCACAGACGAGAGGGCTGTAGGGATTCAGGAAAAAAATGAGTACAGGAAGACCAAATGAGAAGCCTGAAGACAGTGAAGGAGACATGACATATGCAGAGACTCTAACAGTCAACTACAGTGGCAGGGAACAGCTGAGCAGGGAAGACAGTCCACTGAGCATAGGGACTGCAGAAAGGACAGAGGTTGAAGGCAGGAGCGTTTCGATGGAAGGAGCTAAAACACCTCAGAGGATGCAAAGAGAGACGCAGTGGGAGGAGGAGAGGGAGAGGTCAGTGTTTGTCTACGGGCTCTAAGAAGTCGACGGGGAAACCTACGATGAAAGAAACCAGGGGGAGAAGAAAGTGATCGAAGGTATCATGAAAGCAATTGGTAAGGGAGACATGACCCAGGTGGCAAATTTTCGGAGAATTGGGTGGTTTGCGAGTGGAAGGAGACGGCCTGTCAAAGTAATCTTCAAGGCAGAATCAGCTCGAGCCAGGGTTCTACAGGAGAAAGCACGACTGAGGGACAAACCAGAGTACCGGAGAGTGTACCTAGATCCCGACAGAACACAGGGGGAAAGGACGATACTGAGAGATAGGGTACAAAGACGAAAAAAGGAACGGGATGCATCGATGAAGGCGAGCAGAACCCAGACTCAGGTGGAAGGACAAATACACCCTACAGAGACACCCACAAGAGGACTCCACCCACAACAACCCCGAAGCAACTGAATAATCTCAACCAAATCTGCACACTGTTCCCTCTGCCCCTACCTTCCACATCACAAACCTCACCCCTACAGCAACCCCCTATGGGCACTCTGCCCCCCTCCCACAACAAACCCCACCCAGGCCGTGACAACCACAACGCAAATGAACAAGCTCAACCAAAACCTGCACACTGTTCCCACTGCCACTACCCCCCACATCACAAACTCCACCCCTACAGCAGCTCCCTACGGGCACTCTGCCCTCACCCCCCATCACAAACTCCACCCATACCACAAACCCCCATAGGAGCCCCCAGGGCTCCCGCTCCCCCAACCCCAAAATTCTCCCAGATCCACCGTGATAGAAGAAGCTGTAGGTGTGGTACACAAACGCAGATGGTACAGCAAATAAATACGAGGAAGGGCATGAAAGAATCAACGAGAAGTCCCCAGACATCATAGCAATCACAGAAACGAAACTCACTGAGACAATAACAGACACAGCCTTCCCACCGGGATATCAGTTCCTGAGGAAAGATAGCAGCAGAGGGGGAGGAGGGGTTGCAATGGTCATAAAAAACCGATGGAGTTTTGAGTAAACAGAAGGCATGGACGAGATTGGAGAAAATGACTACAATGTAGGCACAATTCAATCTGGGCAACATAAGGTAGTAATTGCAGTGATGTATAACCCACCACAGAACTGCAGGAGGCCAAGAGAGGAATATGATGAGAACAACAGAGCGATGGTGGACACACTGGCTGAGGTGGCACGAAGAGCTCACTCATGCAGAGCAAGGTTACTGGTTATGGGTGATTTCAACCACAGGGAGATCAGTTGGAAAAACCTGGAGAGCCTCATGGGGGTCCCGAAACATGGAGAGCCAAGATGATGGATGTGGTACTGGAAAACCTCATGCATCAACACATCAGGGACACTACCAGAGAGAGAGGGGAGGATGAACCAGCAAGACTGCACCTTGTGTTCACCCTGAGTAGTTCAGACATTGATGACATCACATATGAGAGGCCCCTCGGACCTAGTGACCAATTAGTCCTGAGCTTTGATTACATAGTAGAGTTGCAAGTGGAGAGAGTAACAGGAGTCGAATGGGAAATGCCAAACTATAAAAGGGGGACTACACAGGAATGAGGAACTTCCTGCAGGAGGTTCAGTGGGATAGAGAAATGGTAGGAGAGTCAGTAAATGAAGTGATAGAATATGTAACAACAAAATACAAGTAGGCAGAGGAAACGTTTGTTCCCAAGTGCAACAGAAACAATGGGAAGACCAAAGCGAGTCCTTGGTTTACCTGAAGGAGCAGGGAGGCAAAAACTAAGTGCATTACAGAATGGAAGAGGTACAAAAGTCAAAGGACCCAGGAAAACAAGATCAGTCAAAGAGCCAGACACGAATATGCTCAGATTAGGAGGGAGGCCCAGCGACAGTACGAAAATGACATAGCATCGAAAGTCAAGTCTGACCCGAAACTGCTGTTTAGCCTCATTAGGAGAAATACAACAGTCAAAGACCAGGTGATCAGGCTGAGAAAAGTAGGTGGGGAACTCACTAGAAACGATCAAGAGGTATGCGAGGAGCTCAACACGAGATTTAAGGAAGTATTCACAGTGGAGACAGGAAGGACTCTGCGAAGACAGGACAGAGGGGTACACCAACAGGGAATACACCAACAAGTGCTGGACGATATGCACACAACTGAGGAGGAGTTGAAGAAACTGCTAAGTGACCTTGATACCTCAAAGGCAATGGGACCGGACAACTTCTCCCCGTGGGTACTTAGGGAGGGAGCAGATATACTGTGTGAGCCTTAACCACAATCTTCAACATATCCCTTGAAACTAGGCAACTACCTGAGGTATGGAAGACCGCAAATGTAATTCCCATTTTTAAAAAAAGGAAACAGAAAAGAGGCACTAAATTACAGACCAGTGTCACTGACGTGTATAGTATGCAAAGTCACGGAGAAGAAAAACAGGAGGAGAGTGGTGGAGCACCTGGAACGGAACAAGATTATAAACGACAACCAGCACGGATTCATGGAAGGCAAATT